AAAAAAAAAAAAAAAACTGACAGCAGAGTCATATGTAACAAATAGTATCTTTACTTTTCATTTCTTTTATAACACTTTGTTTTTCTTCAGCTAAGTATTACCCTCTTTTTACATTACCTTTAGCTCCATAGTCTTTACCAGTTGTCTAAATCTCTTCTAGAGACATTCAGTTCAGACCCATCAGGTATTTGATGAATCTCTGCCTTCTGGAGAAGTCTCTTGTGGAGCCTTTTCTTTCCTCTTTTTTTTTTTTAATTTTTTTCTTTTGTTTGAAACAGAGTCTCACTTGTCGCCCTCAGTAGAGTACTGTGGCATCACAGCTCACAGCAACCTCAAACTCTTGGGCTCAAGTTATTCTCTTGCTTCAGCCTCCCAAGTAGCTGGGCCTACAGGCACCCACCACAGTGCCTGGCTATTTTTAGAGGTAAGGTCTCACTCTGGCTCAGTCTGGTCTTGAACTCGTGTGCTTAGGCAATCCATCCACCTTGGCCTCCCAGAGGGCTGGGATTACAGGTGTGAGCCACTGTGCCTGGCCTTCTTGTGGAACCTTTTCATCTGTCCCAGTCTGGACTGGTAGCCCTCTACTCTGGGACAGAACTGTCATTCTGGGAATATCCCTTACTATCTCTTATGTCTGATCTCCTGTTTTCAGCTAGCTTTAGAGTACATGTCTCTGTCTCTCTTTTTTTCTGCATTAATTTGGAAACCAAGACCTTCTTCAGAAAGGGTATATAGGAAGTCAACATTTTAAAATCTTGAATGTCTTAAGGTGACTCTATCCTATTTCACACTTGATTGATTATTAGGGTTGAATATAGAATTCTAGGTTAAAAATTATTTTCCTTCAGAAATTTTTGTTTTTTTGAGACAGAGTCTTACTTTGTCACCCTTGGTAGAGTGCCATGGCATTATAGCTCATAGCAACCTCAAAATCTTGGGCTCTAGTGATCCTCTTACCTCAGCCTCATGAATAGCTAGGACTACAGGTGCCCACTATAATGCCTGGCTAGATTTTTTTAGAGATGAAGTCTCACTCTTGCTTAGGATGGTTTTGAACTCATGAGCTCAAGTGATCCACCCACCTTGGCCTCCCAGAGTACTAGGATTACACGAGCGAACCACCGTGCCCAGCTTTACTTCAGAAATTTTTTTTTAACTGCTCAATACAATTTTTTTTTATATTGTTTGGGATTCATTGAGGGTACAAAGAATTAGGTTATACTGATTGCATTTGTTAGAAAAGGACTTCTTATAATTGTGTCCCACTCCAAGAGGTGTGCTATATACGGTGACCCCATATCCCTCTCCCTTCTCTTTTCTGCCCACTCCCTTATTCCCCTACTTCTTCAGAAATTTTAAAGAATTATCTTTAAGCTTTCAGTCTTGCTATTAGTAAGTCCAAAACCATTCTTATTTTTGTCCCATTTTATATGACCTTTTTTTCTTCTAGAAGCTTGTAAGATCTTTTTGTCTCTGATAATCAAATTTCACAATCATGTGCCTAGTTGTGGATTTGTTTTCATTTATCCTGTTGGGCCCTCTGTGCGAAATTGGTGTCTTTCTGAGCTGGCAGATTTTTTTATAGTCCTTACTCAGAAGGACTATATCTTCTAGTCCTTCAACTCAAACCCTATTGAGTTCTTATTTTATTAATTTATTTTGAGACAGAGCCTCAAGTTGTCACCCTGGGTAGAGTACTGTGGTATCACAGCTCATAGCAGCTTCCAACTCCTGGGCTTAGGCGATTCTCTTGTCTCAGCCTCCCAAGTAGCTGGGACTACAGGTGCCCGCCACAGCGCCCAGCTATTTTTTGGTTGCAGTTCGGCTGGGGCCAGGTT